CCAAATGGATTGCGTCTAATACTATATCAAGATGGCTTTGAAGTTGTGACACCTATTGGGCCTGCAAAGGGCCATCACGAACTTGTAGGTGCATATCTTGCCATTGGAAACCTTCCTGATTATGTTTTGATCATCAAGCTGTATATGGTGAAATAGTGGAGGATTTAAAAATAATTGAGAGTGTTGGGATAAATGTTCCTGGCCATGATACTGTCAAGGGTTCACTTGTTTTTATTACAGGAGACAACTTAGGAAGTCACACATTAGGTGGGTTTGTCAACAACTTTAGTAGATCAATTTACTTCTGCCGATACTGTGATTTGAACAGATATGCATTTTTTGATGAAGATGGTGAATGCAAAACTTTTGAAAGGAGGACGGTTGATTCGTACAGAAACTGTCTAACAAAAGTAAAAGTTAATGCTGAAACGAAGGAAATTACCCCCTATCATGGTATTAAATTTAATTCTGTCTTCAATGATCAGCTATACTACCACGGGTGCGTTCGCTTTAGGCGCTCACGCGCTGTAAGCGCTTATAAGCATTGCTTATGCCGTTCGCTTTGGCGTTGTAAGCGCTCAGAGACGCATTTATGACGTCAGTGTAACGTCATGACTCGTGCTCACAAATGCTTATTCTATCCAGGTGAGGCAGCAAGAGCGTGAGCGCTTACAGCGAAAGTGTCCAAAACGAATGCGTGCCGAACGCTGTGTTGCTGTATCGGTAAGGACCTAACCAACAAATTTGCATAGCTATAATAAATATATGCAATTAGATTTTTATTGTGCATACGATTATTGTAGCAAGTTTATTAAATAATTTCTTAATAATTTTTCAATCTAATTTTTTTAGGATTGGGAATTTTGAACACTAGGAACATGAATAAGAGACCATCAAGGAATAAGAGTAAGATAGATGGGAAGGAAAATGGTAAATATTAATAATTATAATTATAATTAATATGATAAAGGCATTACAACTTTTTTTATAGTAATGATAACAATGTTACGTGTAATATCTTTTCAGACAAACTTGCATAATTGCATAAACATATGCATAAAGAAAATAATCCATTTTCTTATACATATGTTTATGCGATTATGCAAGTTTATCTAGATTACTTCTTATTCTTGATAATATGTATATATATATATATTACATATTACAATATATATATATATATATTGTATAAAAAATTGTTATTATCTTTACAGAGTGTAATATAGATACAAACAGTGTAATGGACTTCATAGAGAAACAATATTTAATTGATGGTGTACTATACAATATCACAGAAACTCCTCATAATCACGAAAGACTTCGAAAAGGTAAATTAAGTAGTGTAGTATTTTATTAATTTAATTTAATTTAATTTATACAAAAATTGATTGCATAATTTTATATATATATATATATATATATAAATGTACATACATTTCTTGTTACAGATCCTGATTTTGCATCACAATACGTACATCGTAATGTTTTTGATTTGAAATCCTCACAATCTGTCATGGAAACTGATAATGGTAAAGTAAAAACAAAAGTATGTATGTAAGTTTGTATGTTAATTATGTATATATAATATTTATTTTATAATTATAATTTTTTATTTAGAAAATTTGGATGACTATAGTTATACCGATGAGACATTACAGGATATTTCTAATAATGATATGGAAGTACAGGAGACACGGGATATTTCAAGTGAAGAAATTGGAGGTATTTTTAATAACTTTTTCTATATTAACTTTATAATTTTTTATAATAGATTTATTTTTAGTTTTTAAATGGCCACATGAAGCTATTCTTCTATTGCTAGAGGAATATAATTTGAGACAAAATGATTTTGTAACGGGAAAAACATCTCAAAAAAAAGTATGGTCTTTAATTGCGGACGAAATGGTGAAGCATGGACATAAAGTTACAGGAGCACAATGTTTATCTAAATTCTCTGGACTAAAACGAACTTATAAAGCTGTTAAAGATCACAATAATAAATCCGGCAATGGAACGCGATCATGGCCATATTTTTCTGTAAGTTATTATTTCTAAAAACAATTAATATTCTATTTGTATAATAATTTACTAATTAAAATCTTTTTCCAGCATATGGATACTTTACTAGGTTCAAAACCGTTTATGTCTCCCGTGACTACTATCTCGTCTACTGGTAAACGAACCCAATCTGATTCTAGTATATCCAGTGGAAATAGCTGCTTGGACACAGCAAATGAAAAGCCAAGTAAGTATAATAAATTGTTCATTAGTAAGGCCCTAAGCAGAATGGCTGTTTTGTAAGATTCTAGACACAAAACAGTATTATGTGTTACTTTAAGATACATAATGTATAATATTGTCTTGTGCCTGGAGCCTGGAGTTATCTTACAGCCATTTTGTTTAGTGCCTAACTTTGTGTAGTTTAATGTTTTAATTAATGATTCTAATTAACTTTTTTCCAGTTATAAACAATTAAATTTGTAATGATTATAATCTATTAAATTCTAATTTATTTTACACAAATGTTGTATAAATTTAATGGCAAATATTTGTTTATTTAGAGAAACTTCAGAAAACGTCTTACGCAGAAACATTAATGGAAGACTTAAAAGAAGAAAGAAAGATAGCCGAAGAAGCTACTGAAAAAAGACACAAAGAAAACATGGAAATACGTTTGAGATTTCTTGCTTCGTTGGAAAAAATGGTTAGCATTATGGAAAAAAAGTAATATCGATATTCATTATCAATGTGCTTAGTTTATATGGATTATTTAATAGCATATCAAACATTAAGTCTGTTTCTTTGATTGGTGAAGAGTTTATAAATTTATACTTGGAGAAGCAGATTTAGTATTTAATACGTGTATTGAATCAGTATAAACTAAGCCAATGTCATTAATATTGACTTTTTTTTACATATGCGAAATTGTTAATCCATCCACTGAAGTTGTTTGCAGTTGAAAAGTGAGATATAGTTCAGAATAAGATATTCTATGATACTTAAAATTTATTTTTATTTATTATTCTGTGATTTACAATGTGAAAGGCAAAATAACATTGCAAGTACCTATAAATCGATATAATCGATGCTGATATTTAGAGTAACACATGATATTAGAGAAAAACATAAAAATATCAGTTGATAAGCTGTATTACATGTTAATCTCCTTGTTCTAAGAAATTAATAACATTCGTGAAAAATTTTATTTTGTTATTAGTTTCCAAAATACTTTTTATTTTCTATTAATAAGCGAGTTGAGTAAAATATGTTTTATTTTGATGTTTATATTGTTCTCTTAATAATTAATATTGTTTCACACATGGATTTTATGTAAACACTAGATTTTTCTTTTACATTATGCGTTTTATTTAAACAGATGCAATACAAGTTAATATAAATATTATTATTTTTATTTTATATAAATATATGTATATGTATATATATTCTTAATAAAATAATAATAGTACATAATAGTAGATAATTGTTTAATTTTTTTTTATATAATAATTCATAAATTCATACATGTCGTAAAATTAAGTTATTACTAATTATATCACGTTTTAGTTTAGCTGCATTATTACATGTTTCATTCGTTAATTGTTCATTACTTTCAGAAACAATTTCGAAAACATTTTGTTCTGTAATTTGAAAGTCATCATTTTTCAATGAACAAATGTTATGCAAAACGCAACACGCCATAATAAAGTCTGGAATTAAATCAACGCGCTCCATATCAAGAACTGTTAATAAGCTTCGAAATCTTCCTTTAACATTCCAAACGCTCGTTCAATCGCCATTCTAGCAGACGAATGGCAAAAATTATAATTTTTTGTCTATTAGTTAAATGTCCATTATCACGAAATGGCACCATTAAGTGTTCGTGAATATTATAAGCTGCATCGCCCAATAAATGACTGTCATCAGGAAATTTAACTGGATCTTGTAAATAGTCATTTACTTCAGACAAGCGAAAAACACGTTGATCGTGGACAGAACCAACATGTCCAGTAGTACAGTGAGTGAATCGTCCTTCATGGTCACAAACAGCCTAATAATGTATAAGGAATTACAATGCTTAGAACACACACACATTTAAAAATTTGATTATGATAACTACTTACTTGCAAATGTATACTATAATGTTTCTTCCTATTTACATACGAATCAGGATTAACGCGTGGCGCTTTTATATTGATGTGTGTTCCGTCAATTGCTCCTATTGCTTTAGGAAAAGCACTAACTGCAGCAAATCCTCTCATTACTTCTTTTGCTCTATCTCCTTTTGGCCACACAATAAAAATTGGAGCTAATTTGACAATTGCCTT